CCTCCTCCTCCTCCTCCTCCTCCTTTTCTTCCTTTTCCTTCCCCTCCCCCTCCTCCTTTTCCTTGTAAAGTGGTTTTGGGTCATAGTTCTAGGCAAGTGCTTAATTACTATGATTGTCAGGCCATTGAAAATGACAAATTAATTTATATAAAAAAGCCTGGATAATCTCACCTGGCTTTGAAAAATAAATAAATTCTTAGTACTACCATTTCAGCAACCTCCAGGCTCCTGCCCTTTGGCACAACTTCATGTTTTAGGGGGAGTTAGTCTTTGCGGACTGTTGTCTACTTTTTCAATACTGCAGCAAAGCTGCGCTTATCACTACATGGCATTGACATTGGAAAAAAAGGGCAAGGGACCAGCCGTCGCTGGATTGATAGCAAATACTACTGTAGGGGGCTGACTTGTTTTGAGTTGGGAGTATGAAGTAAGGGTGCAATGCAAGTCTCTTACAGAAGCAGGGCTGACTAGCCTCTAAATTTTCACAGGACTGTCCGTAAGTCAGAATTTCTTTTGATCCTTCTCTCGATATTCATCGTTGTCATGTAAATTTGCTCTTTCTTTCTATTACTGTTTGAGAAAGTATGGTGACGGTTTTCAGTAAACTACACCACCCCCCTTTCCCCATCCACAGACGCTTAATGTTCAGTGGAAATTAATCCAACCTGCTCTAACAAACACCTGTTCATGACAATCTCCTTTATCACTTCCCACTTCTTTCCTTTTTTTAATAAATTCACACTATTCAAAGGGACCACCTGTCTGAGATGACCACTTCTCCTCATTAATAAGGTGGTCATCATGAACATATTCATCTGAACTTCCCTTTACCAAATTGAAACTGTTGAAAAAGCGACACTTTAGCTTTGTGTTGCCCTTCTTAAATCGTGAAACTTGACTTTTTTTTGTTTCCCAACTGGGTCACTGTCCTTGACCACTCCTTGGTGGTTGTTGCAGCCTCAGGGACCCCCCCTCCCCCCCTCCCCTTTCTCTTTCAGCACCATGTTGTGTTTGCCCACTTTTGATTTTATTAATCCTAACAATAAACATCAGTGGTAAACCAAGGTATTTGCTGTTCCCTCAGGCCCAAGACAAGTACCAGCGAGAGCTGATGCTACATTCTGCTGACGTGGAGGCTCTGCAAGCTGTGAAGAAGCAGGTAGACTATCATGGACTATGTTCAAGTTCAGAGACGTTATGTGTTCAATTTACCTTGTTTTAGGGGGCTCGATACTTACAGGACAACATTTTTAGCTAAAGGCAAACTGAAACAATTTTTGTCACAGGCAGTAAGTATGAGACAAAAGATTCATATTCAAGTGTTGACTACACTCGATTACGTAAGCTGTTGCCATGGAAACGGCGGCCGTCACGAAAATTGGATAGGTAATTTATTTTATTCCACTATTTCTACAGTTTTTAACTTTTTAAAATTTTGTAACTTGCAAAATGTCACAAATAAATAGGTGCTTGCAGCTGGCTATTTTGATTTTTGATTCTATACTTAGAAAGTATCCAAAATTGTTCTCAAAGTTGGTGATATTGAATTTGATCTTTAAAAGAATATTTGTTACATGAAAAAAAAATTGTTAAAGACATTCTAAAGCAAAACGTTAAAACTAACCAGCCCACTACAAGTACAAACTATTTTTTCTAACTATGTGCCAAATTTCATGTCTTTGTGTTGGAATTTTTTTTTTTATGTTTGAGAAAAAAACGGCATATGCAAGCAAAAAGTGGTAAAATAAATGTGTTTTGAGAAAAACAAGGTTAAACATTGCAAATGTTAGTACACAACGTAGAACCCAGTAAAATTGAATTCTGTTAATGTTACTCACTCAGCCACTAGTGTCAATAAAATCTAGACTGAATCAGAAAATACCAAAAGTAAAAAGTGCACTGAGGGAATGAAATCAGTCCCCGAGGCCCTAGACCCGACCCGCGAGCCCCCTTAAAATGTTCCACCTGGAGCAGCATTGCCTGTTTTTTGTGTGAAAACTTTGTGGCCAGAAAAAGAAAGTACTTTTTTTTTGTTTTGGAAAACTTTTCAGTGAGAAGTAAAATTAACAAGGTTATCCAGCCTGAAAAAGAAGCAACCATGGTTTTTTGTTGTATTTTTTTTAGAGAAGTCATCAAGAGCAGGAAATTGGTATCAACTCTGCAAAGACTTGCGAAGGTGACCATTGCCCAGATACTCTATAAGCAAAATGAAATCCTTGTCTAGCCCACTTACAAGTTTTATTTTGTGATCGAAATGTTGATTCTATTTTATTTTCACAGCTTGAAGATCTGAATGAACATCTTCAGCAAACCCAAGAAGAGACGGTGCACTATGAGAAACAATTGGCTGATGCTAAGGTACTTACAGTTGTCTTCCCTTACATTTTGTGTGTGAATTGTGTAAAATAAATGTCTTGTTTGCTTTAATTCACCGTTCTATGCAACTTTATGCTCTCTCTCTCTCTCTCTCTCTCTCTCTCTCTCTCTCTCTCTCTCTCTCTCTCTCTCTCTCTCTCTCTCTCTCTCTCTCTCTCTCTCTCTGTGTCTCTCTCTCTCTCCCTCTCTCCCCCTCTCTCCCTCCCTCCCTCTCTCTCTCCCCCTCTCTCTATCTATCTCTCTCTCATTCTCCCCCCCCCCCCCCCCACACACACACATATACTTACACTCTCACTATCTCTCTCTCTCACACACACACAAACACAAATGTTTATTTTTCTCTATTGTGTTAGTTGAGAATGTCAGATACGTGCTCTCCATCTATTTTTATGTGTCACTTTACAAGTTTTCATTACTCGTGCTACTCATAAGCAAATGTATGTCATATCATGTATTGATTCAGTTTCTCTAGTAATTCATTTTTACACCCACATTCACTCACCCTTTCACACCCACAAACCCTGCTGAGTGGGTGGTTAGCGGGTGCTCTGGTGTGGTTTGCTCCTTCTTTCCAATCAAACATCTATCGTCCTTATCTCCCCTCGTTCTATTTTGTATTTGTTACTCTCTTTTAACACCTCTAATCTTCGGCATTTATATGACCGTATTGTGTTACAAGTGCCGTAAAACTCTTACTAAAACTAAACCATGCTGTATGCAGACATCATGGACGGAGCAGGAACGGATCTACAAAGCCGATGTCAAGATGGTGGAGTCCCGGTGTGAGGAGCTGAACAAGCAGAACGCTATGCTGCACGAACAGATGTCAAAGGTCAGTAGAGATAGAATAAGTCTCTTGTTTAGTTCACCAGAAGCCACAAGCTGTGTTGAAAGTCCACTGTTGCTGTTTTAGTGCCATTCTTTCTAGAATCTCAGCTGTTGTATTTACTGAGCGGTGTGGTGATGTTTTTGCTTTTTTACAGAGGTTGATTTTTCATTGTTTGTTATGTGATCAAGTGAGGTTAGCTTTTTTAGTGGGGGGGGGTTTGTTTTTTTTGGAGGGGGGTTACAAATCTATTGTCATTTAGTTCTATTTAGGCTATTTTCTGTTTTCCATCGTGCTCATTAATGTTGCATACAATATTCATATTGTTCTTGGGTGTAAATAACATTGTCTGGCTATTAGTCTCTGATCATACTTCTCTTTCCCTCTGTTGTTTTTGTCTGTCTGTCTGTCTGACTTTCTCCTGACATTGAATGACCCTAATTGTGTTGCAAGTGCCTTAAATCTCTTACTGTAACATTATGAAAGAGATTGTATGACCGTTATTGTGTCTGTCTGCTTCATCTAATTTGAACATAAAAAGCTAATCCCATGGTGTTGTTTTTCCCCTCATATACAGCTCAGTGCCCAGGTAGTGAGCATTCAGCAGACGACTCGCAGAGATTCCTTCGGTGCTAATACGTCTTTCAGTGATGAATCGGGCAAGACCTCCGAGCAGCTCCTGGAAGTAATCAAGTACGGTCATTTTTTTAGAATAATGTTTTAGTGGAGTTCTAATTTTTCATTGGGAGTGGGAGGGGGGTGGGATTATGATGTTTTGCAGAAGGTAGTGACGGCACAAATTCTTCCAATAAAGAATAAATGAGTATATGTTAATTTCTCTTTTTTGTATCTCCAAATTTTACTAAAGATATTACAGGAAATATGTAAAGATAAACACACATAGGGAGTTGCAATCAAAAGAACAGTGATATTTTGAGTCATGACGGAATGTCTCTTGAATGCTTCAACTCTGCTATTTTGGGCATTTTGGCCAAAATGGTTTTTGTCACTTCAGGCCCTCAGCCAAGGAAATATACTCTAGACACAGTAGTGTTGACATCTTGCTGGGTGACAGAACTTGTGCTTAACTCACTCAACCCTAAGCCTACACTTCCGGTTGTCAGCTGTCCCTGGAGATTTTTATCACATTTTGAAAAATTGAAAACAAAAATTAAATTTTAAGATACCTTACCTAAATTTGGTACACATTTTATTCAAACCTTTATTTGTGTGTATTAAGAATTTGATGGCAAAATGTGTCATAGCTTTTATGCAATACTCCGTGGAAAAAAGTCTATGTACAGAGTAAAAAAGTAAACAAAAAGCGAAGAAAGGAAGTGCGTTCAAATTTCGCACCCTCCACATGGTTCACGAATATAGCTTTCTTTGTTCTAAATTTGGGCTTGCGCTTCTGGTCATAGTCTGTTTCAAACGAAAAATGGTTACTCTTCCAGAGAGGCTATAGTCTGCTTCACACAAAAGTAGTGTTTTTGGTCACGCGAGCGAAATTTTCCATACCGATACTGTCGGCGTTATGGTTGGAGCGTTGCGCGCGCATATCAATATTATGGGCGTTAAGGCTAGGTGAGTTAATGTACAGGTTTTTAAAGAAAAGCGTAGCATGAATCGTAATGCAAAAGTCTAATTTATCTTATTAATCACTTATTACCTGTTGTAAGTTGAATTAATTACAAATGAAGTCAGTTGAGCTGGAATGGGCCTGTGCCCTAGAGACCCTATATAATGAGCCCAGTTGTCTTCTACATGTCAATCAAATGCATTATTTCACAGGTTCTTGAGACGAGAGAAGGAGATTGCAGAGACAAAGCTGAAAGCAGTGGAGGCAGAGTGTGGTCGCATCAAGCAGCGGTTCACTCTTGTGGAGAAGCAGGCTGGTGAGGCAAGCAAGGCCCTGGCTGAGGAGAGAGAGAGGTCACAGGTACGAAGCCAAAAGTTGTGTCATGGTCATGTGCCTTTTTCTTGAAGAATATATGATCTAAAATTTGGACCATTTTTTTCGGTTTGTTTTAGGGGATTTTTGTCATTTAAAAAATTCCTTTCCAGCAGTAGTATGAAGGAAGAGACAGTAAAAATATTGTTGCTTCAAGACACTGGTTCATATGGGGCTTCTTTGTATAATACAGTGTACTTAGGTTAGAAATGAGATGAATTTATGATTGGGTGAGTTTTGTCTTGAGATTTCTGACACTTCTAGCATGTTTTAAGTGCTATGCCTTCTCACCACAGCATTTTACGGACCCATACATGATTACCAACTCAAAATTTGTACCTCTCAGACTCGCGATGGAAATGATAGTAGTTCTACTTTTTGACAGTCTTTGTCAATCGGTTTACCATATTTTAGTAAGAATTGTGTTTAGTAACTTTTTTGTGCCTGATGTGTTGTTGTGTTTAGTAACTTTTTTGTGCCTGATGTGTTGTTGTGTTTAGTAACTTTTTTGTGCCTGATGTGTTGTTGTGTTTAGTAACTTTTTGTGCCTGATGTGTTGTAACTCTTAGGGGGTTTTACAGACAAATTTAATTTATTTTTGCTCTAAAGTTTGGAGGGGAAGCAGTTACCGAATTTGGAGTCCTGGATTGTCAAAAGTTTGAGTCTTTTTTTTTTTTTATCGCTAAAGGTCAATGCTGAAACAGTGGCCAATCAGGTTGAGCTGATGCGTAAAGTGAGTAACTTGAACGTTCTGACGGACAGCAACAAGCTTCTGAGAGACGAGAGAGACCAGCTGCTCAACTCCAAGCAGGAGATGGAATCAAAGGTCAGTGTGCTGAAATTTTGTTTTTATGGTTATATCAGTCCGGAGATAGTGAACGGTTGTTACTGTCCCTCTTTTCTGTACAAAATAATTTGTCACAACACCGTAGAATTAGGAGCTGATCAATTAGTGGTATCATGCTTGTTCATTTGTCTTGCTTTCTATGGAAAAAGAAGTCATGATATTTGTAATTGAAGGAGGTGGGGGTTGCTTGGTTTGAGAGATAAAATTGGCAATAAAATGGCCTCAAAGGTTTGGTGACTTCCATAGCTTGAAAGTCCTAGAAAACTGACAATTTACATTTTTTGTGCCTTTAATCAACATTATTTAGTGAACTCCGCACAGAAATGTATTTTTAGATGGACATAAAAGGTGTTGAACCAGAAAAAAAGAGTTTTATTAAAATTGCGAAACAGATGGAAAAATTACGGTTTCTTTGATTTCATTGTTTTGACGATTTCTAACAGCTACTTGTGAGTCTGTATGCAGTTTTTAGCCTAGTATTATCAAATGTCCGGAAACAACAAATGCAGTTTGTGGGACACCTGAATAGACATAAGGGTCTTGAAGATCTAGCTCTCACTGGCAAAATTGAAGGCAAACGAGGCAGGGGAAGGCCCAGAACTATCTAGTTGGAGAACCTAAACAAATGGGTAACAGGGAAAGATCAGGGAAACGTAGCTTTTTTTTAGAGCAGCCGAGCAAAGGAATGAATTGAGAACCATGATCACCGATGTCCGTCGTAGATCTGGCACTGGATGATGATGATGATGGTTATAAAATGTTTTCCCCTTCCCTAATGAATCACTGCCGTGCTGGGATTTTTTCATCCAAGGCTAACAATGCCTCTGTGATTTCCCTTCAGATCGCCAAGCTAGAATCAGACATTGAGCCCCTTCAGTCCAAACTGCGCGACCTGGAGTCAAACAAAGAAACTCTGACCGTGGAGAGGAACACGCTGCAGGATGAGGTGAACAGGTGGAAGAACCGAACCTCCAGCCTCATAGAACAAAGTCACAAGACAGATCCTGAGGAGCATAAACGCCTCATGTGAGTGTTTTGAAATTGGACAGGCCTGATCATTGTCTTTATTTGTTGCAGTTTCAGATATTTTTGTATATATTGTATGTTTCAAATGCTTTATTACAAAACACTTGCAAGTTTTCATTCATTTTATTGACCTTTTGTTATGTCGTAAGTGCACCATTTTGAATGCATTTTTATATGTCATAAATATTTTAATCAGGAGATTTGGTAAATTCACTGTAGTAGTAGTAGCATGCACTGTTTCAGCTTTGTTAACAGTGATGTAGTTGGTTTTTCCTTTCATATCCTATGACATGTTGATAGCTTTGTGACTAATCAGATTAATGCTGTTTGCAGTGGGTGCAAGGGAGTATACAGTCGAACCTGCCCTGACGGCCACCTGTACAAACGGCCACTTTCCATTCCCCCCCTTGCGTTTTTTCGATATAATTTAACTGTGTAAAACGGGCACCTGTCCAACGCGGCCGCGGCCACCATATTTTAACACACACCCCCTATCACACTGAACAATAACACCTGTCTTAGACGGCCACCTTAGTGACTCCTCTACGTTTTGTCATAAATTGTGCATTGGCCCCTGGCGTTGTGGGCGAGCCGTCATAATCTAATCACCTGTCGTTGTTGTTAGGTAATCCCTCCAACCAATCATGTTGCGTAGGCCCCTCCCACTGTTGACCAATAGGTACCAATTTACAGCTGCTGGTGATGGAAGCATGTGATCCCTCATAACCCATAAACCCCGCCCAGAACTCATATACAAATCGTAAGTGAGATGAGTGGTCACTGTTTACCCATTTACCCAGTCTGTAACAAAGTAACAATGGACGTCAACATAGACTTGTGACTGAAGCGTCGCTCGTTCTTCGAGTGGTGGCGACCCATAAGTTTGTTTTATCATAGCACTCGGTCCCCCTTGTCTGACACATTTCGTTTTATTGTCACCCTTGCACAAAAGCAGCAACAAAATAAAAATAACAAACAAAATACAAACCAACAACAACAAAAACCACAATAATGCGGCTACTTTCGATTAGGAATGGGGTTTGTTTTTTTCATCTTTATCAGTCCTGCCTAAGACAGCCACCTGTCTTATTCGGCCACGTTTCTCCTTGACAATGGGTGGCCGTCTTACACAGGTTTGACTGTATTATGTATCATCAATAAATACCACAGAAGTGTGATCAGGTTTATGAAAAGTATAAATCAGCATGATGTGGTATCTGTAAGATTTCCTAATAGTTATTTTATGTCCTATTCTGTTAGCTTTTTACTAAGCTCAATACACAGAATTCTCAAAAAATTGTCCTCAAAAAAGTTTTGCAGAAGTAATGTAAAGGAAGGAATGTGTGTGCCTTTTTTCATGTGAAGTTCTCTCATCCCTGACTTTCTGTGTTCTCAATGCAGGCAAGAGAAAGAAAACCTGAGACGTCAGCTAACTCAAGCAAAGGAGGAAAACTTCAAGCAGAGGTATGTACAAGACTAGTCTCCTCTTTTCTGTCGATTTAAAAAATATATTGTTATTTTACATCTGTTATAGTTCCCTATGGTCATTCCTTTGTTTTTTATCTTCGTTTAACAGATGGTTGGTGGATGCTTTGAATCTTTTACTTCTTTTTGATGTGACCATTGCTCTGATGTGTTCATGGTAAAATTAGGCATGCTTCCAAGTTGAATTGCCTTATACTATCACTCAACTCTTCATTGTTGATGCTTTGAAAATGGTTTGAATGTTCTATTGATAGGGAGGCACGCTGGTTTTAGATAAAATAATGTTTTGGTTTGGGGGGGTTGCAGTCTCTGACAAGTATCATTGGCCATTTAGACCAATGTGTTCCTTGAAGTCTAATAGGGTTCTGTTGGATTTTTTTATAATGGTTCAGGGCTAGAACATAGCTGCCTATCGCCCCGTTTTCGCCGTGAATGTCCTAGTATGACATGTGTTGTCCCGATGTCCTGACCGCATCGGGAAAAAATCCCGACAGGAAACAATTTTGACTGCGCACCGTTTTGAAAATTTCACTGCGCATGGGTAACATGAAGTCCGCCATACTGGAACATCTTGAATGAAAACGCAGGACTAAGCCCCCAGCCAAGCCGACAACAATGCGTCTTTCTGCAGTTCAGAATTAGATCTAGGTCTATATTTTGTACTTGGAAGTGAAAATGAAGCAATAGTGTGATAGTCCTAACAAGAATGAGGAGGAAAAGAAGAAGAGGTTGTCCAAAGTTCGAGCGGAGTTTACTCAGATGTGGCCGTGTATAAAATCTTCCAGGAAAGGTGAAAACTTCGCATTTTGCAGAACTTGTTGCCTTCATTTTTCCGTAGCCCACGGAGCAGAAGATAATTGCCGCTGTCATGTTGCTTAAAAAAAACAAACGGATAACGAAAAGTTAAAACAGAGTTCAACATCAGTCAGTTATTTTTTAAAGCCTAGTGTGTCAACGCATTTATTATCGAAAACGACGAGGGTTGAAGCCATCTTTGTTCAACTACTGGCGGAATACAACTTGCCAATTTCAGCTGCAGATTGATTTACACAATTTATCAAACGAGAACTGTGTTCTCCAAATATGGCGAGGAACTTCTGCTGCGGCCGTAGTAAATCTACGGCAATGGTTAAAGAGCTTGCTGTAATGGCCCAGGAGACCTTATGTCGGCGAATGCCAGAAAGCCCCTTCACGATTTCCACTCATGGAAGCAATGATAAGGGAGGTGTGAAGCTTTGACAGCAGAATATTCAGACTCCTCATTGAAGAGGCTGACAAGCTGCTGCACAAGCTCCCTGGCCAATTAAGTGGCAACATCAGAATGTAAATAGTGTATATAGTTTTTTTTTAGTGGTGAGTACAATTTTATCATTTATAATACACTAATTTTTTTTTATTGTTTCGTTGTGTATTCCTACTTTGCTTTTTTCTAGAGCATATATTAATGACCCACTGTTGTATTATTCTACGTGGGGTGCAAAGGTTTTGTTTGCTGCTATGAAAAAAATTGTCCCTGAGAGGTGGGTTAATGTCCCTGAAAATGCTTGACTGGGTCCCTGAGACCCAAATTGACAGGTAGGCAGGTCTGCTAGAAGTTTGCTGAGGTTTTGATTTTTCTTGTCCCCAGAAATGAACTCAATCGTGCAAACATGACCAACACAAACCTTCAGTAAGTGCATCGTCTTAAAATAAAGTCGTCATAGAGGAATAGTCATTGAGGATCTGTTTCTTTATATCACTGCACTTCGATAGGAATGATGTCGGACGCAAGCAGGCCAAGTCCATGAAAGCTTTTTTTTTTTTTCATGATCAGCATAAAACTGTAAATAATATACTTAATCACCAGGTTTTGTTCATGGGGTTGAAGTATATGCAGTGTTTAGTAAACTAGATATTAGTATGCCTTATGGAATATATATTACAGGAAACTGTAAAAAAAGAAAAGGGAAATCTCAGATTTGGCTTGTTTGTGCCGAACACCAGCAGTGTATAGTAAGTTTGGTCACTGGTTAATCAGATTGTCCAGTAAGTGCTTCTTTGGACCTTACTCCTACGCTAACGAACAGATTGTCCAGTAAGTGCTTCTTTGGACCTTACTCCTACGCTAACGAACGATACACAGAATTAACATTTTGTTGCCTTTGAACATCTGTTTTTGGTTTTTACATCACAGTTGGTGCTGTAAGTCAAGACGAGTAGTGATGTTGTGAAACTGCTTCTTGTAAGGTCTTTTTTTTTTTAGTTTTGTTTGTTTTATCATGAATTTATATGTTTGTTGTTCACTCAAATGTGGTCTGCTCCATCCCCAATTCTTCTCTGTAAGTTTTCAGTTTCTTTGATGTTCCTTTTCTAGGTTAGTTGTCACACTAACAGTTTTATATGTGTTGTTCTCACCAGGACTGAGGTGACAAACCTGAAGCAAGAGGCTACAAAAACAAGGTATGAAGTGTCTTGGGTTTCTGTTGGTGTTTACATGCCAAAATATGGTTTATTTCTCTTATGTCTGTGCTTACATCAATTGAGGGTAGTTCAATGTGGCTCATGGTAAGGCGGCTATAAGAGAGTTCATCATTGAAAAAGAAGAGTTGGTCTAGCTTTCAGTCTCCTCTTTTTTCAAAAGATTTCTCCTCCTCCTCCTCCCGCTTTGTCCTTTTTCTTTTTTCCGCTTTAGAATCTATTTTCCCTCCTTTTTGCCGGGGTGGGAGTGGTGTTAAGATTTTCACAACAGGCCATGTCCTTAGTTATTTTGCACCAAATTTTTTCTTCTCTTGAGAGACCAGTTTCTCTGTTGGGACGGTAGACCATTCTGACATGGATGTGAAGGGCAAGCAGCTACATCCTGAATAAGGTGCCCAGCCTGTATGGGACCTGACCTACATGACAACTGGCCATTTTCCTCTTTAAGTCTTCTATTCTAACACAAAGTTCATTTTCTCCTCCCCCAAAGAAAAGAAAAAGAATAACAACCAAGCAGTTTGTCTTGGCCCCTATGTTTATTCAGATATTTATGGAATAGTTTGTTACTTCACATCTATTGTCTTTTTTTTCAGGGTCTTTCATCTTGTATTTCATATCTATTATCTTGTGTTTGGTGGTCTGTCAATTTTATTTGATGTCTAAAATCTTTGATTTGGTGTCTGTGATCTTTTACTTTGTGTTTAGCCTTTCATCTGGTGTCTGATATCTTTTATCACATCCTTCCTCAAACAGCCAAGAGCTTGGTACATTCAAGAAGCAAGCGGAAGACAAGACCAAAGAGGCAGAGGAGAAGACGATGACAATCAACCGCCTGAAGCAGATCGGCCGCAAGTACAAGGAGCAGGCTGAGAAAGTCACAAAGGAGCTGGAGGATGTCAAGGTCAAGGCTGCGGGCCAGGAGAGTAACAAGGTCAACGTCGCCTCCTTGGAGCAAGTGAGTGATTTTTGTCTAGAGGTTGGTTTTGTCAGATGCGTGTCTTTGACATAGGGCGCGTTCTAGCCTGGTGATTAAAGCATCAGGTTCGCAAGTTTAAGATGTTGGTTCAATTCTCATCTGCCCTTGTTAGTAGTAGAATGTATTCTTTGGAAAAATTCTTAACTAAGTTTTTCCCTTCCATTCACCCCCAGCAGTAGCCAGGTACTTGGCCTTTTGGCAAAAAAAGTAAGGTATGAATAAGGGCTTTTAACACAGAACAGCCATACCTCCTACTGTATTCATCCTTCACCATGATACTGAGATGTAAAGTTAAAAGTCAAGAGAGATGCATGTACTAGGAGGTCGTGAGAACGTTTGATTGCAAGGGTTACAAGATTGTTACCAATATCTTACACTTGATATGGGCCTCTGATAGGTTTTTTCTCTGCCATCAATATGAGTGGTAATATTTTTTTCTGCGAATGTGCCTGTCAGTATTGTATCTACTGAGTTTGAATAGAAAGACAAGCAAAGTAAAATAACCTACATCTGTGCAGTGATAACATGGGTGCGATGATATTTCTCTGTTCACTGGTGTCTCATCTGTCGCGGCATATGCGAGTGTCGCTTAGTGTGTCGTGTAGCTATGCTGTGTCCAGTGTCCGTTCACCTGTGTATTTTGTCAGTCGCTGTCTATCACTCGAGCGAGTAGTACGTTTTTGTTCAATAAAGCCAAGCTTTCAAGAATGGCTTGTTCGTCTTGATTTATGACAATGGGAAAGAAATTAGACCTGCCACAAGTCATGCATTCTACTGTAACCAGAACATTTTTTCCCAGTGTTTACCTCAGTTTTCTGCTCTGTCAGTTGAACTTGTGCCTTTCATCCCTGGTAGTAGATATCATTGTTCAGAATGTTGAGTTGGGTTTTTTTTACATGTGATCTATGAAGCATGGACCAAAAGCTTTCTTGGCTTTTCATTTTAGTACTTTTTTCTTTTGCATACTTGATTTAGTGTCAGTGTAACTGGTGAATTTCTTTGTCCACAGACAATTGCAGAGCTGAGACGCACCATCACAGCCAACAGTTCTAGCATCAGTTCCCTGGAGAGTCAGTTGACGGAGGCTCAGAACGAGGCTCAAGCTGCGGTGAAACGTGCAGAGCAGGCTGTTGCCGAGGGCAACACACTGAAGGAGAGCCTGAGCAAGAATCAGCAGGTGGGTGAAGGAATTAGGAGGAAAAATTGTCATATCAATGAGAATATGGTCTGTCATACACTTTGCTCTACTGAGAGATTCTCACACACTCACACGCACTCCCCTCGCCTCTCCAAATTTTTTGTTGGCAGTGCATTTTGTGTACTTTAAATGTTAGATTATTTCTTAAGTGCTGGAATCTAAAGTTTGAGTCCCTATAGGGACATTTTAGAGGATTATTTGTTTGGAGCGAGTTTCTTATGACTATCCAACGCTTTGTTTTGAAACAGAAGTAAACACACTTTCCGCTTCTCTTAATTACCTACACTAAGTTGCAAGGGGCTTATTCTATATTTTTATGGATAAACGCCAATGTTAGCCTATATAAACAAAAGTTAAATAACTATCAGTTGTTCGTAGGGCGCCTCTGGTAGGACTTACTTCTTTTTTTTACTCTTTTGTTTCCGTCTATTTGTCTTACTTTTCCCTTGCACTGAATGACCTCTTTTTCCTTAAACTCCAACAAAAAAAAAGAATAAAAAACCATGTGGTTAAAAATGGGCCCATCCACAGGAGCTGAACAAGACCCAAGAGACAAATACGAGGCTCAAAGCTGAAGTGGACGACTTTGAGAAAAGGGCTGCTGAGTTTGAGAAGAAGCAGGCCCAGTCGAAGCAAGTTTTGCAGACTGCCCGGAACAAGATGGTGAACCAAAAAGCTGACATGGAGAAGTTGGAGGCAGAGAATAAAGAACTCAAAGCTTCTATGGCCGCCGGACAAGGGGGTGCCCCTGGCAAAGGTGAACTCTTGATATGTTTTTATCTTGTTTTGTTTTTTAAAGTTAGATACAAGAGTGCCACTGGTGTGATTTTGGTGTTTAAAGACGGGTGGGGGTTATAGTGAAAGTTAAATGTTGTAAAAAATTTGTGCATTTTGGTTTGTATTGAGTCCAGAAACAGGGAAATGGATAAAAATTTGATGTTTGCCCTCTTGTACTTTTTCTGTGAATTTTATTTTTATTATTACATATCCTCGTGACGTTAAATGTGTTGAAATATTTGTTTTTTCCGTGCAGATGAAACAGAACAAGTCCGTGCCTTGAAGGCCCAGTATGACGCCAGAGTGGCCAGGCTAGAGGAAGAGCTGGAGACATCGAGATCTGCAGCCGCTGCCGCGCAGACTTCTTTTGATGCACAGGCCCAGCTGGAGAAGGTTCAGGGAGAGAACTCCGAACTACAGGCCAAGGTATTGAACTCTGGCCTATCTGTTTAACCCTTTTTGAACCATACCAGCCTAAACCGGCCTTCCCATCATGTAGTCATAACGGCCTTCCCGTCATGTAGTTATACCAGCTTTTACCGGACTTTAGTGCAGGCTTAGTAATAAGGACATTCTACTCTAAACTCTGAAAAAAACTGAAATAATTCGGTTCTGGAAAGCCGTCACCTGGCTGCCATTTTGGTTCTGCTATGCTGACCTATTTATGCTGCTAAAGAGGGTTAAACAGTGAGTTCTGGTTTAATTCTTTTTTGATATAAGTTTCTCTTGACATATTTGATCTTTTTTCTTATGAACCTCTGACACATTTGTTTTGATCATTGATCTCTGATGTATTTGGTTTTTTATTTGTCTTGACCTTCTGTCCCAGGCTGCAACAAATCCTCTAAGGGTCAGATTTTAAAGTCTATGTACAGTTGCTCAGAGGGTGCCATTAAGCCCTTCTTCTTTCCTTACCCTTTTTTCTTTTTGCCCTCTTTTTTACACTGCGACCAGCACTGAATTTTTGGTACTTGTATCAATATACTTCTCTTTACTCAAATTTACTTAAAGTCAAAAGTTACGTTCATTGTCGGTTGACACTGAGTTACCCTGTCAGTTGTTAGTCGGTCATGTTTGTATGTTTTTCTCACCCCCACCTCCCTCCCTCAGGTCCAACAACTCCACCGCCAGCTGGAGGCCGCTCAGCACAAGCATTCACCGCCACAACAACCTGTAGCTGCACGGCCAGCTAGCAGTGTGGGACCTAGGTGAGCTCATGCATATTTCTATTTTTGCTCACTGGTTCCTGCCGGGGGGGGGGGGGGGGGGGGGGGTATTTTATTTTTTCATTTTATCGGGGGGAGAATCTCTTCCTCTCCTGTGTCTTGAGTTTTTAGGGGACAGTTAAAGCCTGCATCCTGATCAGTGTAAAATATATCTTTCCTCTTGTCACACTTATGACTTATATCGGAAGATATTTGATATCCGCAGAAAAATCGATTTAAAACTCAGAAACTTTTCTTCTTTTAGCAGAGATGATTTTTTGAAATTTATTTTTTCTTTATTTTTGCCTCTTGCAAAAATTTTGTTTCGTTTTACATCCTTGCCCTCTCTCTCTCTCATCTTCACTTGTGCTTGTGCTTTAGTATTGATGTAAAAATGTTGTATCTATGTCAGATAAACAACCACTTCCCACTTCTCTCTTACTTTTTTAAAAAGATTATAATATCACTATCCAAGAGGATCCTGTCTAAGACAACCTCGTTTGTCCTTGACAATGGATGGCCATCTGTTATAGGTTCGACTCCCTTACTGTTGTATTTCATTATTTTTTTCTTTCCGCAGCACAACATCCAGTGATGCTCCTAAGATGGCCAACATCAAGCCCATGGCCCCCGCAGCCTCCACCTCACGACAGTCGGCCCCCATCACCTCCCACAGCCAGGCGGCCGTCAAGGCCATGGCCAGCATACGGCCCATGGCCATCTCACCCACCACCACCTCCATGCCCTCAGGGGGCACTCCCACAGCCACCGTCATGCCCAGTCAGCACGACACTTCTTCTGAAGGTGAAGGGTCATAGTTCATATCAATGGCGTTTTGCTCTAACTATGTAACTGATTTCTTGCAGGGGGGGGGGGGGGAATTGCTATACACAATAAGACGTCCCATACTTGAAATTAATGGCTAAATAAATTGAAATAGATATCATCAGCCATCTTTTAACTATTTCCGGACATAATTGTTTTGTGGTCTAGACGTAATTAACTTGTGACTCGATTCGGCTACACAGGTGATGTACAAAATAACTTCATATAAGCATAACCATCATTCAAAACGTAACATATGATATCTTAAATTGAAGGAAATTGAATATGGAATACATTACAACATGAAACAAGGATTAATTTTGAACATAAGTATGCATTGCAAGGGTTAGAAATGGCGATGGTGGTGAGAAAAATACATATTGACAGAGAAAATTACACTAAACATGTGAAAGTGAATCAGCATAGTTATCATATACAGGCCAAGAGCAGACTCCATAAATTTCTGAATTTGCAGCTTTTTATTTGAATGTAATATTCCAATTTTTGTTTGAGTTATATTTATACTGAGTCCAGTTAGATCGTTTTGTTAATGCAAGACCGCAAGAACTAATTGACTCGTTTTTCGCCAGACCGACGCTTTGGCAAAGTGAAACTTGATATTTTGGTTTCCTAAACCCTTTCCAAGTTTTCAATAACAATAAAAAGTACCTATAAATAGTTGATCATGTTAAAACGAAACAAAACTGAGGCACCCATCATAGCCGATATATCAGCGATACGTCCGCAAGGGGTGTGGACTCGCACCAATATATCGGCGATACGTCCGGAAAGAGTTAAGATGTACCAAGCCCAAATTTTGAAACGTTTTTTTATTCTTGCAGTTTTTTAAATCTGTGGTGTCAGTTGTACATGCTCAAGAAATATTTTGTAGAAATTTCAATTCTGAATCTTGGAGAGAAGAAAAAAATACATAATGTAGTACAAATGTTAAAAGAATGAAATAGTTTTTTAATTGTCTCCTGTAAAATTTCTGCTCTCTGGGCATAGTGCAATACCAACTGTATCTGTTCTTGAACTGAGGAAATATTTTTATTGAGAAACTGCAGAACAACTTTGGCGGCAGTTGTCCTATTTCTTCCAGTTACACGATCAGAGCATAGCACCATCAATGGGTTTGTTCATGAATATTATGTACCCTCTTCAATAGTCGTGCCCACCTCTGTCAGTCATTATGTTACCTCTTTCGATGATAAAGGGTCATAAGACCTATTTATGGGTGTGTGTGAATGAATGCGTAAGTGACAAGGGTTTTAGGTCATGTGAGTGTTCTCTGGTGTCACACTCAAGATGTGTGGATCTATTTGCTTTTTAATTCGTAGGTGAGTCCCATGTTGGTTTTGTTTGGGTTATACTTGTGTATGAGTATGTTTGGGTCGTCTGTATTTTGAAAAAATATGTCTTTTGTTTGAAATACATGTATTTGAGTAAGGTTATTACTTTCTTCCTTGCTGTGGTGGGTTGATTGAAGTGAACAGTTTCCGTCTTTCTTTTACTTTTTTTCACTACTACATACATAGTGTGCTTCTTCTTTACTTGAACAGTAAAATGTGGGTGGTTGGTGAGTGGTCTGGTATAGTTTGCTCCTTCTTTACTTTTGACCATCTATTTTGTCTCTCTCTCTCTCTCTCTCTCTCTCTCTCTCTCTCTCTCTCTCTCTCTCTCTCTCTCTCTCTCTCTCTCTTTTTTTTTTGTTACTTTCTTGTCACACCTCCTATCATCTGCACTTATACACTTATGTGACTTATTGGGATTGCAAGTGCTGTAAAACTCTTACTTAATTGAACAGTAAAATTAATTAATTTCGTGGTCCCAATTATGTCTTTCAGATAATCTACCTGGACCATCTGGCCTGCAGCAGACATCGTCTATCCCTGCTGCGTCTGTGTCAGGCCGCGTACAGATTGTGGAGCCGCAGGTTGCAGGGGACTGGAACCAGGAACCTTCAGGTACAAATCTCATTTAGGTTTAAGATTTACTATAGCGTCACTGCACTTTTGATTAATTTTTTAAGGCTCGTGTAGGAATTTTTAGCTGTTAAAGTTTTTAGTTTGGACTGGTTAGGTGTGCTCCTTCCATTTTTTTTTCATTGTTGCTGTTGCACTAGTTTTTACTTGTCAGTTGTAGTCATTATCAGGCAGGCTCTCCATACATTACAACCAAACATCAGTAGTAGTGACATTGAATTATTTTTGGTCCCTTTTTGACAGGCCTGTGTTGTCTTTTTTTCTTTTTTTTAAAAAGTATAATATCGCTAATGTACTGATCTGTTTCTTGGTGAAACATTAGATCACCCTATAGTACTACTCAGCAACGGTTATCATCTTTCTTGTCAATATCTGTCCAGGTTCCTCTGACCAAGGTCCGGAGGAGAACACAACAAACCAGGCAGTTGTGAACCCGAGCATCCAGGAGACTGTTCGAGTGGTGAACCCCACGCCGGCATCCAGCCTGCCTGGTCCTTCTGACGGGGCTCAGCATACCACGGGCGTAGCACTGGGCAAGCGTTTCCGGGACGATGAAAGGTTTGTTCAATCTCCTCCTCCTCCACCTCCCCCTCCCCCTCCTCCTCCTCCTCCTCCTCCTCTTCCTCCTCCTTACTGTTCACCATTTGTTTCTCTGCTTGGCTACTTTTTTTTTTAAAGCTATATAGAACTATATAAATTGTTCAGGTCTTATCCTGTTACTCTTCTGTCCAAGTTCTTTAAGTATTTAGATTTCAAATACAGGGTGGAAAGATTCCAAAGCATTATTGCATTGTCTTTTTTTTTTTTTCGAATGAAATACAAGTAACAGTGAAGAACCCATGAAAACGATAAGTGTGTGTAGCGTTTGGATATCTCAAAAATAGATTCAGCTGTGGAAAATTTTGTTCCATCACATCAAAGTGTATAAGCTGCCTGTACAGGTTTGAAAAATTTTTGTTTGTGTTTAAGGACCTGAGAAAAATATGTTCACTCACTAAAGGTTATCTTTGTGTGCTGAAGTTTTTGATGTAGTCATGGTGGAAGAAAGAAAAAAAGATATGTGCATTGTTGAAATGGGTGCTTCATTTAGTTTACGAAAGTACTCTCTCTTTCTTGGGTTTGAGGGGTATTTCTTCATTTTCTCAAGGTAAGATACTGAAATAATTTGTTCTCATATCTCTCCAGCTTTACCCAAGACGAGTCAGACTCGAAGAGGACCAGAATGAGTAGTACACAGGTCAGTGATCAGATATTTATGCAGTATACATTCTGCTGCAACAGATTCATCGGAAAAAACATACTGGATTAGATCATTTTAGGCTTTGAAACACCTTGAGTCAATCCCATTTATCCTCATACTCTTACATTTCCTTCTCCAGTGGAAAAAGCAAAATGTGATGTAAATATGATAAGATGCCTGTCAAAAATAGAGTGGAAAAAAATCTGTGTACCCTGCAGGATATATGAAAGTTGCAGACAATTAAGTGACTGACAGTTGTAGCCCATCAAGTGGGGAAAATTGTAGCTGCTCCAGTTCATTGTCATGAAAACACAGGCTCCAACATCAAAATTTCATTTCTAAAGAAGAGCAGGGTCTGCTTGTAAAACGCAGAGATCTTTGGCTGTTGCCTATCCCTTTCTACACTTTCAAACATTGTGGTCCACTGTCAGCCTATTTCATTGCTGTCATCATCCGCAAATTCTAGTCTAGATCTCGCATTTGTATTTTTGGTTCATTCAAAGGTGATTTTTAAATCATTCACCAGCGTTTACTTTACATGTTTTGTGTTCTCTCTGGCTTATACCTGATTCAAAAAAAATACCCAAATCAAGACACAAACCTTGTGTGTCAAGAGGCCTACCTACATGTAGCGATTTAATCTCTCCAGCAGGAGCATTCCATCCCCACCATTACAGTCATCGATGAGAACCAGCAGGTGGTCACTCAGATACAGCCCCAGCCATCAACGGCCAGCCAGCCACAGCAGGGACAGATGCAGCAAACGACGAGCCAGTCCCGCGCTGGGCTCTCCAGCGGTGCTACTGTTCCAACAGCTGCAGCAACACCCTCGGTTGCTGTTGCCTCAGTGACCTCCTCTGACTGGCAGAGTGACGTTCAGAAGGTGAGTCCTCGTTTTGTCGGTTTCTTTGGTGGAAGAAAAGTGTTACGGTTTTGAAACTTTTCGTTTAGAGTTTAGATTTTCTTTCAACTATTTGTTATACTGTTTTGAGTTCAGCAATTTGTTTAATCTTTTCATGCATTATAACAGCTTTTTCTATCATTTGCCTGTTTGCTTTGCTCAGGGATGTGGCACTTAATTTATGATGTCTCTCTAAGACTTGTGTAATTCATATTTACTTTCACTTTCAATTCTTGTTTTGACTCCATAATTTTGGCTTGGCTGGTTTAGTTTTGTTATAATGCTTGTTCATTTTTACTCATGTTGTTCGAGAGCGGGGATTTTGCATTAATTAATTTTTGTCAGTTTTCATGCATGTTTTGTTCAGACGTAGAATTGCTTCAATTTGCATTATTTTCTTGCGCATATTTTTGGAGGCTCCATTTTCTTCTGCTTTTTTTTTTTTTCCCCAATTCACGTATTTCTGTTCAGCCAATAGACTCTGACAGTCCCCTGGCAAGTCATGAAACAATACATTTTTACTCATTATTGTTTCAGACTGGAAATTGCAGGCCTTGTAAATTGTGTATCATTTGGGGGGGGGGGGGGGGGGCTGGAAATTGCAGGCCTTGTAAATTGTGTATCATTGGGGGGGGTCTCAAACTTGAAACATTCAGTTAGTGTAAAGTAAATTCTATATAGTCATTAACAGCCAGCTTGTCTTCTCTAAAAGTGAAAAGGAATTCACTTTTTTGTCCTACTGGTCTGTTCATCAGGGATCAGACACTCTGCTTGAACAGCAAACTGCCACTCAGGTGAGGTCAATACTCGGTCAGATAACCATCTTTCTCGACATATGAGTGGTCATAAACCTGTAGTATATGATGGATGTACACTGTTTACGTGATGACCTTGTTTCGTGGTAGTATATGGTGGATGTACATACAGTGTATGGTTATCTTCCACGATACACTAATATTCATACACCTATGAACTATCATGCCTTGTGAGGTAGACAGGTTTTCTCACAGTAATTTTCTGTGGTATGCTGGCAGTTATCTTCTTATCTTCTTCCCAGTTAGATAAACATTCCTTCCACCTGATAGTATCCCTCTTTGACATTCTGGCCTTTCTCTAAGTGAGATGGGCTGTAAATCTTATACAGCATGAAGTGAGAGCCTGCTTTTGTGTTCAAGCAGGAGTTGATAGTTTAATCATGGGAATTTGGGAGTCCCAGGGGAAACTAGACTATTGTGCACACCTGAAGGCTTTCCAGGAAATGAGAACTTGGCAAGAGTTTGTTTTCCCACTCGAAGAAAAAATTTAATTTGCATGTATCTGTACATTTTGGAGGGTTTTGTTTTGTTGTTTTTTTTGCTGCATCCTGAAATATATGCTTTGGAAATTTCTTTTGCTTCTCCATTTCACCAGCGTCACTCCACAATGAATTCCTGGGGTGGGGTTTCAGATAAACTATTACGTGAATACCGACATGAAGGGGCATTTTATAATATATACTTATGTTTTGTTTTGTTTTTTCCTTCCTAGTTTTTCACTGCAAAATCACATTTACCCTAGTCATGGTTCTTCATTAAGCAATCTCTTTTTCTTTAATTTCCCCAAATGTAGAAAAAAGGGAGTTACGCACCTGTGGAATGATGCTTTTACTTTTTATGTTTCCTTCTCTTTTATGGTCAAATGCAAGGTGCTTGTTGCTCTGCTTTCAGCGATTGGGCTTGTTGCTAGAAATTTTAAGGAATTTTAGCTCTGAGGTTAGATGCTGGAAACCAGAAGAAAGTCAAATTGTTTTGTAAAACGCATGAGATTTCTGAAATAAGAGTTTTTAATGTGTTAAAGGTGTTTAATTTGAAGAAAAAAGTGAATATATTTTGTTAATAGATATTTGAATAAAGAATGAGCATTATGCTTTAAATAGTTTGTTCTTGTGGTGAAGATAGCCAGAATATTCTCTTTTTTTTAAAAATCACTAAGGGTTGCTACTATAGGAAAAAAAGTGGTAGAGTGATGATTTATTTTAAGTATCAAAAGTAGCGGTGAGTTATTCTAGATATTGGTCTTTGTTAAGTTTGACATATTTCCTTTTCACTTGTATTCGAATATTTTATGTAAGAGGGGGTAATAATGTTTGTTTTAGCTGCTTTTTTTTCATGTCTTCTTCCATATTGATACAAGAAGGCATATTTTGAAATAAGGATTAATTAGATAAACGATTAAAGTGCTTTTTTTTTCGCTTTCTTTAAAGTACAGCTTTATAAGAACATTTATGTTAAAATATTTACCTCCTTTTTTAGCTAGTACTTGTTGTAACAGTGTCAAAATAATGAATTTTGTAATAGTATTTTTGAAATTTGTTTTGTTTTGTTTTTTACCATTAAAAGTTTGTAATTGTTCAGCATTGCTGCAGGGAACACAGTTATATGTAACAAAATTAATTGCTCGTTTTAGTTTATTTTTTTACAATTCAAATTTATATTTACCATTTTAAGATGAATTTTCTTTCCTTGTAACATCAGGTTCATTTTTATCACAGTTTAAATGTCATTGACTTAATTGTTTATTTTGTTTGTTATACAGTTTGTTGTTATTTGAATTAATCTGAATCCTTTCCTGATTGTCTGGCAAGTGAATGTTGAGAAAGTGGTGGAGGACAGGTAATACAAATTATATTTGCCCCTTTTTTGCAATCACATGTAACCCACCTGTAATATTCCCACCCCCTTCTTTTACGTACCTCCCTCTTGTCGGAACCTGTGTCGCACATCAGCAGTCGGAGGTGCAACAGGGAGGAGATGATGTCATTATGGTGCTCAGTGATGAAGATGATCAACAGGTAGATGGTCTGTCGTCCGACCTCTCAGTCTTTGCTCAGGGCAGAGAGGGAGGATTATTTTAAAAACCAAATAAACTAGAATTTGGGAGAGAGACGGGGGTTAAGAAATTTAGAATTGAAGAATAAAAGCTGAGGGGCAGGAAGGGGGGCTGGATAAATAGGAATTGACCTTTTGTGTGTGTGTGGGGGGGGGGGGGGGGATATAGAAGCTGGATAGTAATAAAAAGAAATGGGAATTTTTGTTTCCCGGGCCAGGGGGCAGGCTACTAGCTGGATTGAATATATAGATACATAGGAATGTTGTCTGTGGCGAGAGATGAGTCCATAAATTGAATAAACTATAGAGCCCCAAAAAACCAGACAGATGCAGTGGAGAAAAGAATATAGGTGGTAATCAGCAAAGGAACACATGTAGAGATAAAAACATAGTGACACTTTGAGTGTTTGCATTGGAGCTGCTTGCCTGAGTTTTTTGCAAGGCTTTGGCTTACACATGGGGCTGCATTTGTCGTTTCCTTATTTCTCACACATGTACTCACAAGTCCTGAAAGTAAAGTTCATTTTCACACTTTGTGATCCTTAGGAAAACTCTTGTTCTGGTAATTTGGCTACTTTTATTTTCTTAACATGGCCAATCTGCCAAACCTTATTCTCAGTTTAAGTTGCAGGGGCCTTCTATTTCAAAACAACTAAAAAACTGTTTTGTCTATAATTATAAGTATTCGAATTTAAGATTTGTTTTTCTAACAGTTTCTGACGTTATGGATTATCTTTTCTGACCCTGAACTGACCCGTCATCTTCAGATTTTGTTGGTTCTAACCTTTTAAAGTTTGGTTTGATATAAAGATGAACTAATATTAATTGTTTATCACATTCTCGTTCTTTGTCCATTTTTTCCGTTAAAGTTAATTGTTGCAATGGTTTGAGTGCATTTTGTTCTTTAACTGTTCAATCATTACAGTATGAAGTTTGAATTTCATTAAATTTTATGCAAAATTCTAGCTGTACCATTTTTGCTATTGACCTTTCAAAAAAACTGTCTATGTATTAATATTTTGATCCTTTATCAGCTCATAGGGTTTGGTTTCATGCAGGATTTTTTTTGTGTGTCTGTACAGGGTGGTGAGGATGAACAGATTGATGATGAGGAGGAAGAAGAAGACTATGAGGAGGATGATGACGACGATGATGAAGATGAAGAAGACGAAGACATTGAGGATGCCGATGATGGTGATGATGTTGTCATTATCGGTAAGTATGCAATTACTGTCTGCTTTTTTAACCCTATCCATATGCCTGGGGTCATTTTTTACTCAAGGAGTTGTATACGAGTAAATTTCCTCTTTGGAAAGTGGGGGCACAGAGTTCCCCACGTCGTATGGGTACAATAGTAAAACACGACGTACGGATAGGGTTAATTAATAAACCACTGTTATTTTAAATGGCTTGACTGCAAAACCTCCAGCCCCAATATTTTTTAATGCCCCGAAAATGTATCAAGAAATGTAAACTGGTAATCTTGATTGCTTCTGTAATGTCTTGAACCAACTAGATTTGTGAAAAATTTGTATCATGAAGTGGTGAAGTGGGAGGCTGTCATTTGTTGTACAGACTACAGTCTTGTCCAGTCTTCTCTTTTTTTTTCTTTTTTTTTTTCAGCTCAGCATGGCTATCTTGGTGTCCAAGGCTTTATTGTACTTCACGCTTGTTATAATAAAACTATGGCCAAAGGGCTCAAACTGAAATATCCGCTGAGTGGGGAAAATTAAAGTATAATAAAACAGGACTCCTCTCACAAAATTAATCTGTTTATTTCCAGACATGGACGAACAGCAACAACAGCAGCAACAACAGCAGCAACAACAGCAGCAGTCTGCTCCCCCACCACCACTGCAGGCCATCTCCCACGGCGACCGTCTGCCATCAGTGGGCAGATCTCAACAGCTGACACCCTTCATGCTTGGGGTGAGTGAAGGAAGACTAAATTTTAAAAATAAATTTTCCAAATTATGTAGATGTTCTAATGCCCCCATTAACACAATTTAGATCATTTAGGAGGCAGGCTTCCAACCTTGCCAACCAGGGCTGAGAGGGGTACAACATCCCTGCAGAAAGACAGTTAAAGATACTCAGTACAAAATTTCTTCAAACTCGGGTCACCGAATAGCTACATCATATACTCAAGTTAAGGGAACCTAGACAGTGTGGAGTTGGTTGGTTTCTCCATCGAAGAAACACAACACACATACACACACACACACACACACACACACCCCGTTTTGTGTCTATTTCATTCCATCCCTATGTTTGCCAGTCTTACTTCTCCCTTTGTGATTACATTTTTTTTTTTTAATGGGACAAAAACAGTCATCTGATTGGAGTGGAAAAGATATTACTCATTTTTCATATCCAGCTAAAGATGATTATTTTTTTCATTGTGATGAAAAGTTCTTCCTTTTCTTTTTCTTACACCGGGCACAACAGATGGTGTGGTTTAATATTTTTTTTATGTGTGGGTTTTTTTTTACATGTTTTTTCACAGCCGCCACTTCAGCATGTTTTTTACCATTTTATGTCTTAGGGACATTTGACTTTGTAGACTACTTTGATGTGCTGATAGGGTGGGCGCAGAGATCATGTTATGTCAGTTACAACGTTTACACCTTTTTTCATCATTTCAGGGAGCTGTCAACCCTTTTGAAGAAGACGACTGCACTGTGCCTAGTACACCCACCTTGTCCCAGCCGAGACGAGCTGATGGTTTTGCTGAAGCCCTCAAGTATGTCTTTGACCTGGGGGGGGGGGGGGGGGGGATGTTGATGGGTTCTCTGTTTTGATCTCAAACTGTTGTCCTAATCCATTGGGGCTAAAATGGGGGTTGTCATACCAACTCGAGAGTACGTACAACAAGCCGACGCGTGTCCTTTTCCTCATTTCTTACTGACTGCAGCATTTCTTTTGGGAGTGCCGTGTATGGGTACAGCTTCCTGCAGGGTTCCTGCGGCCTCCTTGAATTCAAGGAGTCCTTGAAAACGCCTTGAATTTGCATTCAAGGAAAATTCTCCTTGAAAACTCCTTGAATTTTAGGAACCTCCTTGAAAACTCTTTGAATTTCGCAGGATCGAATGTGAACAAAATTTTTGTAGGAAAATTGTAACTATGATTCCTTTTAGACAAGTGTTGGCCTATCGGAAATAGGCTTTCGGCATGAATTTCTAGACCAAATGTCCTTGAATTTTTAAAATTTCTCCTTAAAAAGTCCTTAAAATCTCCTTGAATTTGGTGGGGAGTTCATGACAGGAACCCTGTTCCTGTGCCTCTGTTCTGCTTTCCTGTCTTCTGTCAATGAGAGTTTTTAAAACTTGGTCCATTCTTTTTTGTATCCCTTTTAATATTATAACATGCCATTGGCCTTCCCCTTTTACTTTTACTTTTGGTATGCTCTTCATAATATGAGAACATCTTTTGTTTTTTACTGATATCTAATGAAAGCTATTTTAACTTCTGTAAGAGATTAGGCAAATCTGTGAGCCATGGCAAAATGTCAGATTTGTTCACCCATCAACATGGAATAGAAAGTATAATCCTTAGAATATATTATAAGAATGTTTACAATAGTTTTACCTATACTTAACATAATATTAATATTCCAAACTGCATCTCTTGTCAGGTTGCTATAGTATCGCACTCAAAGATCATTGATTTAGTTCTCAGTTGCACATCGTAGAATGATGAGATGTGGTCCAGGACAGGTGCCTTTTTTTTCTTTTTTTAAAATCATTTCTCTGAGCAGCTTTTCGATACATAGCTATCAGAGGAAATGGAATTTCAGTATGTGATGGAAGTATGTGTCTTTGTGGCAACTATGCTGTTTGTCAAAGATGAAATGAAATTAACTATCTGGCAGAGGCAATTACAGCGAGGTGTACGGTCAGAGAGTTGAAGAATGGGGTTCACGAACAATCCCTTTGATATTTTTGTGACCTATCAGCTGCTGTTGTGGTCATGGTGGGGGTACTGCTGTGCTGTTTTTCCATGATGATCACATAACTGTTTCTATGGCTTTCTGTTTCCTCAGCTCCCCGGCTGTCGCACAGAGATTTGTGTTTGGTGTTGAAGGAGCCAACAACCCTGACCTGGCACAGCTGGAGTCTCAGAGAGGTAAAACAGCGGGAGAACTTTGAGAACTTTATAATGATATATTATTGATAATAATGAGAATTTATCTAGTGCGTAATTCCTATATGGCTGTAAGCGCTGTACACTGCAGAATTATCATTTAACCGATGAATCACAAGAGAGAAAAGGTACATTGTGAGACCATTAACAACACACACACACATAGATAGGGGCACACATGCACGCTCACGCACGCGCGCACACACACACACACACACACAGGCACACACACACCTCCCAGACTCACATACCAAATTTACTAGCAGAGGATATAATTGAACAAATGCGTCTTTATAACTTTAAAAAAATCATTTTCTGATGTTATAATACTCATTTCTTTTGGGAGAGAATTTCAAATTCTAGGGGCATAGGAAGGAAAAAAGCTCTGCCATTCAACTTATTAGACTTTATAGTGGGCATTCTCATGTGTTTCTCAGTTGCAGACCTCAACTGTCTAGATGGTACATATGACTCAGTCTTTTATGATATTTTAGGGCTTTGTTGCTTATGCAGTTGTGACATAACATAAAAGTGCAATTCTGCTTTTTCTAGATTTGTTGACTGGGCTGTGGTTTGTTGTAAACTGATCTTGACATCAAATAAAACATAAAGTAGTATGAAAATATATCTAAGATTTTTTTCCCTTTCTTTAGGGGACTTTTTATGAATTTCCATCTTTTGTTCATTTGAAACCTGTTGTTCTTTTGTTGAGTCGGTGAGAAAAACGTTTGCTCAGTTCTTGTTTTTTTCATCAGATCCAATTGTTTTGTAAACCTTGACTGATTCTCGGAATAAACTTTGTCAATTCAAATACAGCAGATAGTCTGTATATCGTTACATTCAGGAGATAAAGAAACATTTAGTGGTCTCTTAGACCATAGTTTTGATGCCCTCACTTATATTTTAGCAAAATCTGTCATCATTTTAGAGACTGCTCGTTGAGTTTCTTAGTCTTGTGATGCAAATGATGAAAAGCTCAGACTCTGCTGTTAGTTGCAGGTTGTTGTTTTTTCGTTAAACTTTACTTGGATTGAAACGAACCAGACTTTCTACTCCTCTTGTAGTCAGAGGACTTGTAGTTTTCTCTGCTCTTTTTACTATTTCAGTGGCATTTGAAATGTGATGGTTAAGCATTTTGCCTTGCATGCAAAAGAGAGTTTGGTTCTCATGTTGGGGAGATTCCTACCTATTGAGTATTCTACCTTTCTTCATGGACACATAGTATCCCACACAGCCCAGGCAGGGTTGAAGTAGCTGACCGTCTAAAAATATTGTCTGAACCATCATCATCATCACCGCCTTTCTCACCCTCCATCAGGCCAGGAACAAACACTTTCCACCTTTCCCTCTCCTGGCCTCTTTATGTTATTTCTATGTCTTCCCACTTATCTTCTGTACATAAATTTCTGTGACTCTTCTCTAGAGAAATTTCATTTGGTCTTCCCCTTGAGATCTTTTGCCCTGTTGGTTCCAATCCAACACTTTTCTTGTTATGCAGCTGACTGACTTCCCGAGAGCATGTCTTATCCATCGCCGCGGCCTTCTTCCTTCGAAAAATAAATAAATATTTCTGCTAGTATTTCTGTAACTTTAAATTTTTACAGGGTCCGGCAGTTGGCCCTTACAGTATCATGGCAGATGTTATTCTTTGCTCTCCCGTAGTAAAACTAAGGGCCCTCCCAATATTGTGTCAAAAGTAGATTAAAACATTGTTGCTGATTTTCTAGTTTCCTTCAGTTTTCCTTATCCCTAGTTCCTTTCCTTGAGAAATACAGCAGTTGCAGTGATGAGTGGGTGGTTGGCGGGTGCTCTGGTGTGGTTTACTCCTTCTTTGTATTATGTTACTCTCTAGTAATCCCTCTTATTAGTCTAATCTTCAGCGCTTACATGACCTAATTGTGTGTTTGAAGGTTGTAAAATGTACTAAAACTAAAAACTGATGTGACGACTTGCTGCTGTTGTTTTGTTTTTATAATTAACATTTTTTTTCTTCGCTGCAGCCCTGGGCATGGACGACACCCGCATGGACTTGTCTCAGTTTGATGAGGCCGGAGGTCGCAGTGCTCCCAGCACTCCCACACCACAGACTGGCACAGCAGGTCAGGGCTCGCTCCTCATTTCACCATATTAACTGCCAGCTAACTTGTTAAAACAAACGTATGTAATACATTTTCGAGGGGAAGTACAGAAGTCTATTTTTGTATCGGAGACAGGGCTGCCTAAATCTACCTATTTTCCCGGTAGTTACCGATTTTGGGCCTGTTCTACCACCGTACCGATAAAGGGGTCTGAACTACCAGATTTGCGAAGGGCACTGAGAGGAAAAGTTTAAAAAAGGCAGTTCTGAAGTGTTTCTAATCTTCCCAGTTTTTGCGAAAATCCCTACATTCCGAAAGTCCCGTATTTGCTGCATCATCTTTTACCAATTCCATGCATTACAAAAAAGAGAGAGACGGTAGCTCTTTTAGCTTATTATCGGCATTCTGTAACATAGTATCAGTACTTGCATCCGTAACTTCTCGGATGTTTATGGTAATTCTCGGCAATAAGTTGTTAGAAACTGCCAGATTGCGCATTTCACACACTGGATCCTTCTCCCTCTGTGC